CAAATTATTAGCAAATTAATTAAGAAATTGAGGGTTTAGGATGTTTTGGCAAGTGGTGAGGATACTGTCAGGTGCCTGCCAAGAAAGCACACCCGGAGCAAAAGCTTTGAATGTGTGGTGGTCATCCAGGTGCCACTCTGGGAACGGTGTGAATGCACAGGCAGGAGGGACTGGCTGCTGTTTGCATGTGCAAATGCAATAAATTTGGCAGCAGGGAGCAGGAAATCTGCTGCACTGAGGCGAGGGGGGAGGATGGTTGGAAGTTGGCAGGCTGCTCAAACCCAGCTGGGTTTTGCCCTTCCGTAACAAGGCCATGGAGGTGAGTCCTGGTGCAGGCAGCTTTGGCCTTGCCCAAAAAGTGCAGGCAGGGCATCCCCGTGGGAGCTCCACTGATCATTGCCTGCTCATTCCTTTGGCACTCAGGCAGTGCCAGTGGTCATAGCCACACAGTGTTGCCTCCTGTTTTCCTATTTCCCTTGGCTTTTGGCATGTGGGAGACTTGCAGTGCTTGGAGGATCAGCATGTGTTCAATAGGTGTTTAATGCCAGTGCCACATGGACCTGTCTCCTGGGATGTTATGGCACATCTACCCTGGACCAGGTGCCACCTCCATGGCACCAGGACTCACCACTATCCCTAGATGCTGCAAGAGTCTTCCTCTGCAGGTTTAGCTCATGTTTGCAAACCCTCCTGCTTTTCTTGGGGGAAGAGGAGCTCTTTGCTCCCTTTGAGGTGCTCCAGCTCCCTTGAACAGATGCACAGTCAGAGGCTGTGCATGAAGTGAATGTTTTGGGAGTGTCTGTGGGTCCCTGTGCTCACACCCCCCAGCTCAGCCCCCTCAAAATAGGAGCAGGGCAGGTCTTGCTGTATGGCAGATGTTGTGTGCTGCATCCTGGAGCACTCGGCTCTGCAGCTGGAATAATTGGCTGGGTGGTGGAGCAGTGCCAACCCCCTCCTGCTGTGCTGGGGGGGGATTTACGAGCCCTGGGAGGAAGAGCTCGTTAAAGTCTGGGATTTGAGAGGATCGTTAGCAGCCAAGCCGGCAGTGTTGTGTAAGTGCTGTGAGGGGCTAGGAGCCAGGGTTCCCTCAGCCTCAACATTTCCGAAGCGGCGGAGCATGGTTGTGTCCAGGCAATAAGGGAGCAGGAGGAAGAAACCCAGCAGGAAAAGCAGCTTTAAATGGATTTTTTTTTAAGGAAGCATTTGTGCCTTAGAGGGTGGTGTTCAGTAGCTGGGGCAGCTTTCACCTGTACCCACCGTGCCATGCCAGGAGACCCATGGATGGCTGTTTGTCTTGGCCATGGAAGGTCTTCCACTGTCAACAACTTCCAGTTGGACACAGAACCCTGAAATGGGGTTAAGACTGGCTTTAGGAAACTTGGGCTGCTTCAACATGGGGATGGTTTGGGTTTTTTGCAGGGCAGGGGCAAGATGAAGGTGCAAGGGGAGTTTGCAGGGAAGAGGATAACATGGCAGGGCAGGCGATGCTGGGCATCAGGCCAAGGATTGACTGGGGGAGACTTGTAAATTATAGACAGGCAAAATTAAGCTTTAATTAAGCTTTCAATGCAGAAATGAGGTATCCTGGGGCAGGACCTTGCTTTGCTAGGGACTGCCCCCTCATTGCTGCAGACTGGGTGCTGCTGTGCACATGGTGTTTTGCTAGGGGCTGCCCCCTCATTGCTTCAGACTGGGTGCTGCTGTGCACATGGTGGGTCTGTTTAGGGTTTGCTATCCCTGTTCCCAGGGCAGGGAGTGCTGCCAGTCCTGCCTGATGGAGTTGCTCTGCTCTTCCCCCTGCAGTTGGTGACAAGGTGCCAGCAGACATCCGGATCATCGAAATCCGCTCCACCACCCTGCGTGTCGACCAGTCCATCCTCACAGGTTTGTACAGGCATGGTGGGGCTGAGGTGACTGCTGAAGGCAGAGCTTCCCTTTGCCATCTTCCTGGAGCCAAATTTTGGGACTGAGAGTGGGATAAGTGCTTTGTTGGGGTAGGAAATGTGTGGGAGAGCAAGATTTAGATGATGCTGGGACCTTCTCAGGTGCTCAAAGTCATGGCATAGGCAAGATGCATCCAGTGCTTGAGCATCCCTTCTGCAAAACACAAAGCCTAGGGTTTTCCTATGGAAAATGTGGGGGTTGATATCCCCATGATGGATGTTTGGATGGTTTGGTGATTAAGTGCTGCTCTAGATGCTGTGGGGGTGTGAGGCAGGCTCCTAACAGTGTTGAGCAGAGGCTGGAGAGGAAACATGAGTGATCCATCTCTTCCCTCTTATCTTGTCAGGGGAGTCTGTGTCGGTGATCAAACATGCTGACCCCATCCCTGACCCCCGGGCTGTCAACCAGGACAAGAAGAACATGCTTTTCTCTGTAAGTCACTTACACCTGTTCCCACCTCTGCCGTGGTTTTCCAAAGTGAAGAGGCTGATGGACATGGGAGATCTCTGAGCAGTAAAAGTGCATGCATGAGAAAGACCTGAATCCATAAAAAGGGTCCCAAATCCATGAAAATAAGGACCTGCTTCATTTGCATTTCATTTGGGCTATGGCACATAAGGCCCTTAAATGCCTTGGGCAATCTCAGTGGGTTTTCCATCAAGTAGGATGCATTATGAGTGGGGAAAAGGTTTGTGGTTGAGTCTGAAGCTGTTCCAAGTTTGGGTTTCCTTCTCGTTCTTGCTCTTCTCGGCCAGAAGTCAAGTCCTCAAGGAGGAGCTCTCAGGAAGGGTCTCCTGCTCTTTGGAGGGGGTTTATATAAAACCCTATGATATCTCATTTTCCCCTTCACCGAGATCTCATGTCCTCTTTTCACATCAAGCAACCCATTTCCCTGCTCAGACTGGGAGGTTTCATGCCCACATATCCACTCCGGCCCTTTTGTTCCCTCCCAGGGCACCAACATTGCAGCTGGGAAGGCTGTAGGAGTCGTCATTGCAACAGGGGTGTACACTGAGATCGGGAAGATCCGAAACCAGATGGTGGAGACCGAGCCTGAGAAGACTCCCTTGCAGCAGAAGCTGGATGAGTTCAGCCAGCAGCTCTCCAAAGTGATCTTCCTGGTGTGCATTGCCGTCTGGGTCATCAACATCAGCCACTTCAGCGACCCTGTCCACGGTGGCTCCTGGTTTCGGGGAGCCATCTACTATTTCAAGATCTCGGTGGCACTGGCAGTGGCTGCCATTCCTGAGGGGCTCCCAGCTGTCATCACCACCTGCCTGGCACTGGGCACGCGCCGCATGGCCAAGAAGAATGCCATAGTCCGGAGCTTGCCCTCCGTGGAGACCCTGGGCTGCACCTCTGTCATCTGCTCCGACAAGACCGGCACCCTCACCACCAACCAGATGTCTGTCTGCAGGGTGAGTGCTGGGGGTTTGGGTTTGGAGGTGCAGGGGGGTGCTCTGAAGCCCTTGAACACTCTGCATTGCTCCATCCCAATCCTGGGGCTATGGGCTTTGCTGTCCTCAGGCACTCTACATTGCTCCATCTCAATTCTGGGGCTATGGGCTTTGCTGTCCTCAGCAGACTTGTGTCACATTAGGAATGTGAAGGTGAGCATAGGAAGCCCTGAGGCTCATCACTGCTTGACCAGGATCAGTAAGGCTTAGGGCTTCTCTTGACATGGTGGCAGTTAGAAAACTCACCTTTATCAGCACAACACTGCAGAGGTATTGTGTTGCAGACTTATGGCAGGGCTCCCTCTCCAGGGAGTGTTTTTCCCTGCTGGGATGTTGAGACCTTGCTCCTAGAGATGCAAATGCAATCAGCCTCCTCTGCTCTTTTGCTTGTTTCCCCATCCTGGTTTTTAACCAAATCAGTGAGAAATCCTGCACTTTGCAAAATTACAAAGCCTGGACCTAGGAAATGCTCTTCTGACGGAGAGAGCACTGGGGTGGTTTGGAGAGGAGACTGAAGTCTACTGGAGAGCTTTGCTCCCACATGCCTGTGTGTGTGGAGAGGTGACTTGTTAGGAAAGTCTGGACCATCTGAGTACTTCTCAGTTTCCCCATTAATCCACAAGTTTCAGGAAAGCATTTTTTCATGGCCTTGGTGTGTTGGTTTTATAGGAGGCCCTTGGAAAATGTGTTGCTGTGGGAAAAAATGGACCTGGCCACTGTCCCTGCTTGGGTAGCCTGCTGGGAAGCTGTGACAGTGCTGCAAGCTGGCCATGGGCTTTGGCCACTGGTTTGCTCAGCACAAACTACAGATGACTGGAAATGTCTGGTATTTCTGCCCTGTAAATGATTTAGGACGAGGCAGTGACCAAGCTGCCCATTCTTGCACAAGGAGGAGGTTCCCACTAGGCCAGTTTTCTGACCCAGTGATGCAAGGAAAGGGTTACCTTAGTGCTTGGGGGGTCTCTTTAGCTCTGCAGACTGCAGGAGAGGTGATGCTGAGACAGGGAGAGGGACAGAGTGGGTCAGTGGCACACAAGGGTTTTGGCATCAATCATCATTTGAGCTCAGCCACTTAGCAAAAAAGGTACATTCAATTTTGAATTGAATTTTATCCTCCACCCCATGTCCCCACAACCCTGTTCTGATATCCATGTTGTTCGCTTGGCTGAGCTCTGCCTCCCAGGGCACAATACCACGAGCTGGGTTGGCCCCAGGGCACACAGCCATGGTGGTTAATGTTTAACAGACAGGGATTCCCGTGCTGACGTGGGCAGGACGAGGCTGCTGGGGCTGTGTGAGCAGAGGGTGGGTAAATATTTGTGCCTGGCAGCTGTTGGCATGTCCGGGGCACATCACCGAGCAGCTGGCTCAGCCATGGGAGGTGAAAGAGCCATGAAAGCCTATTGATAACCTGGGGAAAAAAATGTATGAATTGAGTGTGATTTAATTAACCCACACATTTAATTAGGGTGAGCACAGCAGCTTGATTGCAGGATCTGCTGCTGAGCAGTGCTTGCATTTTATCTCTCACTGCTGGCATCAGGTCTGTAGAGCTGTAAAGGGACTCTTGAGAGGCTTCAGGTCTGTTTTCAGACCCTCTGCTGGTTTTAAAGGGCTCTGCTCATGGCCAGGGTGCTGCCTGAACCAGCTCAGCAGATCACACATGGATCCCAGGTGGTCAGCAGGGGTGAAACTGTGCCACTCAGTGACCCCCAAAACGAGATGCTTTGTGCAGGGACCTTGTCCATGTGGGTTGGCCAAGACTTTGGTATGTTTGCTCTGACATCAAGTCCACCCAAGGTCTGGAGGAGCTAGGAACAGCCTCCTCCCAACCATTAAATAACCATGGATCTGGGAGCAATGGTCCTGGCAAGGAGAGAAGGGGCAGAGAAGCATCGCAGCTCTGTTCTTGCATGTTTAAATCTCTCTCCTAAAACTTGCAGCACCCTTTTAGGCGTCATACCTTAATTTTCTGGGAGCACAAGGGTGGTGGTTGAAAGTCAGGACCCAAAGCAGGGATGTGGGCTCAGGGCTGCTTCCTTGTGGGGCAGAGCAGGGAAGGGCTGGAGGAAGGAGCTGTTGGCACTCCATGCCTAGGGGAGTGAGATGTTATTTGGCTGTCTGTGAGGTGGCTGCTGGTGTTCTGTGGAACAAGAGCAGAAAAGGGGTTGATTTCCATAAAGCTTTTAGCAGAGCCTGGTTGTTCAAACTCCCATCCCTGGTGCAGCTGCTCAGGAGCTGTGCAGGTGTTGTTTGCTTTGCAATCTCCTGGGCACTGTGCCTTGTTTCAGCAGTTTTGTCTGTCTAAACCAATCACTAATTATTGGGAGACCTGGCTGGGGGTTCCAGGGGCTGTGCCAGGTACTGGTGGGTGCCTGTTGGCTGAGGCCACTTCCAGCACAGGAGGAAAATGATGCTGATCCATGGAATAGTGACTGGTGATTACAGCCTCTTATCATTCCAGACAGCAATCCTGCCTTACCTGCCTCTTGATGAGTAGTTCCTTTAAAGATATGACAGAAAATAGAGAGTAGTGGAGAAGTATCCTTTGCATTTGTCTTTCCCACAAGCCCATCCCATGTGCTGCTCCATGGATGGTGCATCCACAATTGCCCTTTGCTTCCTACAAATACACACTGGCAGCATCTTGCTGTGTGATACAGTGCCAGAGCCAGGCAGGATCCTCAGGGCAGGAGAGGAGTGGTGGCTGATCTCTTTTGGAGCAGGATGCACTCTTCATGAGCATGTAGTAACATTTTCCTTCCAGCCTGTCTGCTGCATTAAAACCCAACATCACTGGTGTGGTTTTAAAAGGCTCAGGGTAGGGGGAAGCCCTGGGGTGCTGCTGGCTGGATTCTGCTTGCTGGATGCTGGGACTGGTGTTCACTGTGGCAGTGCAAGAGGTCAGGCAGCTCCTCTGTGAGCATCACTCTTTGGCAGTACCCCAAACCTTCCAGCTGAGCTGCACCCACACAGCTTTTCCATCTCCTGCTATTGCTCCTGATATTATTTACATTATTTTTGTGATGGAAACCTTACCTCTCCTCTTAACTGCTTAAGACACAGCTATTTCCTCTGGACTGTTTCCACTGCCTGCAAACCTGCCCACCTCTCAGCCTGAAAATCTGCTGAAACATCAACAGACTGAGAGCTGGAGATGTTCAACCTGGAGGAGAGAAAGCTTCAGGGAGACGACAGACTGAGAGCTGGAGATGTTCAGCCTGGAGGAGAGAAAGCTCCAGGGAGACCTTAGAGCCCCTTCAGTGCCTAAAGGGGCTCCATGTGAGCTGGAGAGGGACTTTGGATAAGGGGCTGGAGTGACAGGACAAGGGGGAGTGGTTTAAGGTGAAGGGTGGTAGGTTCAGATTAGGTATTAGGAAGAAATTCTTTCCTGTGAGGGTGATGAGACACTGGTACGGGGTAGCTGTGGTTACCCCATCCCTGGAAGTATTCAAGGCCAGGTTGGACAGGGCTTGGAGCAACCTGGTCTATTGAAAGGTGTCCCTGCCCATGGCAGGGGAGTGGAACAAGATGAGTTTTAAGATCCCTTCCAACCCAAACCATTCTGTAATTCCCTGCAAACACCTTAGCAGTGCCCTGGCCGCCCCCGTGCTCAGCCAGTCACGAAAAGCTGGGAGCTGGCAGGAAATTTGATATAACCTCTGGTTGCTGTGGGTTACACAGCACCTTTTTTAAATAGGCATGGAAAAATAAAGGGCCTGGAATGATTTTTTTTCTTTTCCCTTTCCCCCTTTTTAATAAGAAAGCTGCTATTGTGGCAGTAATAATTGTTTTGTAGCCATGAGCAGTTGAAAACAAACAGGCCCGTATCAGTGGCTGGGGTGGGTGCCTTCAGATTTCTTAATAAGTGAGTGTGGTTGGTGTTTCTGAGCACAGGAGTGCATTTTCTGAAGAGACCAGGAGATTTTGGCCCTCTGGAAGGCTGATGGCATTGGATGTCTCAAAGAGACAAAGGATGCTCAGCCTCCAAAGGTCCCTTCTGGTGTTGTCTCAGACCTCACCTTGGGTTCTGGAGTCTGTCATCTTGGGGAGGTTTGGTCACCAAAGGTGGTAGGATGGGTTTTGGCTCTCTTTATTGAGGTCCTTCACATGTTAGTGTTTGCACCAGCTGCCAGAGGAGCTCAGTGCCTCCAGAGGACCTGGGACATCTCTTCTGGAGCCCTTTGGCTCATGTTTTTCTTCAGGGATGCTGAGTGGCCTCCAGGATGAGCTCTGGGAAAGGAACTGAGGGTAAATGGGATATCTGCAAATAGCTGTGAAGCCATGGGGAGGTTGTTTTGGCCTCAGAAGTATTCACACAGGAGTTGTATGCTTTGAACCTTGTGCTTTGATTTGCCCAAACCTGTGAAATACAGAGGTGAGAAACCCACTGAGGTGTCCTGTTGCTAAACGTTCCTTCAATGTGCTTCCCTGAGCATGACCTTTATTGCTTGGCTTGGGCAACACCTGCAACATATCTGCACTGGTGAGGTGTCCTTGTATTATTAAAAATCATTAATAATAACAGTAAATTAACCTCTGTTTGTTGCCCGAGGAAGGGAGAGATGTGGGTGGTACCCAGAGCTGCCACATCTCTGGTTGCTGAGCGATGTCTCCCAATTTCTTCAGCATCTATTGCTTCCTTCTCCTGGGGAGCATCTCACGTAATCAGAGGAAAATAAATAGGGGAAAAAAGAATTATTTAGAGACAGGGTGAAGGGGAACAGCTGTCCCTGCATCCACACTCTGGAGCTGCTGAGCAGGTTCATGGAGCTGAAGACAGCATTGCTTCCCTGCAGTTATCCTCCCTCCTGGCTGTTCCCTGCAGCCAGGGAAACATTTACCAAACCAGTTTTATCTATCTATCTATCTATCTATCTATCTATCTATCTATCTATCTATCTGTCTATCTATCTATCTATCTATCATGTTACTTTTTGGCTTCAGTGTGGGTCATGTATATGCAGACACTGAACTGTCACCTCAGCTGGGGTCAGGCACTGCTCTTGCTCCCAGGGGAGGTTGCCCTGAAAGGTGGGCTGTACTTGGAGGGGGCAAGGAGGGACTGGGAGAGCTTGGGAAGAGGGGAATTTTTATTGTATTTTGGGTTTTGAGAGGTTTGTTGCTCTCATTATAGCGATAAGAGAGAAACTGGAAGGAGTTGGAAAGGCAAAAATCACTAAAAATAGAGTGTGTGGGACTTTTACAGCTCACCAGGGCTTTATTACTGAGCTGAGCTGTGATCCCAGTAAGGCACAAGACTGGTGGCTGGGAAGGGGTGGAAGGGGCAGCTGATGGGATCCTGTCCTGCAGAAACTTTCCAAGGCAGCCAGGACAGGAGCAGAAACACTGGATCCAGCTCCTCCTGTGCTCCAAGAAAAACACAGGCACCTTCTTAGGAATGGGCAAGGCAACACTCCTCTCCCATGTTAAAAAAGAGCTGGAGGAGGCAAACATGAAAAAGGCAGGGGAGAGCTGGAAGGATTTGGGAACAGCCAGGAGCAGTGGGTGACCAGGGAGGGGGCTGAGCCCAGTACCAGTGGAGCCATCACTGGGATGGTACTGACTGGTGGGTTTTCAGGCTGGACATGTGAGTTGCACCAAAAATTTGCTGCCTAATGCTCTGTCTCCATCTCTGCCCCTTGCAGATGTTCATCATGGAGAAGGTGGAGGGCACCCAGTGCAGCATGCATGAGTTCAGCATCACCGGCTCCACCTACACCCCTGAGGGACAGATGTAAGTGCTTCATGGGTGGCATGGGGTGGCCCTGGGCTGGCAGCACAGTCAGGGGGTGAGAGGGTTGAGCTTGTGGCCATGACTGGGGAATCTCCATGAGCTGGGGAGAAAGGGGGTTTTCTGTGCTGAGCCCTGCCCGTGGAGATACCTGTTGGGCACTGGGTTTGACTCCTGGGCTTCCAAACATCACATAACTTACTGTCCTTGGATGTTAGTGGGAGCCAAGACAGTTGTTTCACTGTCTATCCTTGCTGGCTCCTGCCTGACAGAATGTAGAGTGAGTATGCCCTGGCTCTGCTCCTGCCCTCCCACTGCTCAGCAAAGGGGCTCCCTCATGCTTGGCTCTCCCTTCATCACAATCCCTTTATCACAATCCCAATAAACTGAGCCCGCTGTCTGTGGGGAAAGTCTGAGGAGGAGGAAGATGGGAAGCTCAGCTGGTGGTAAGAGCACTGTGATCCCAGACACATTCTTCACTATGGTCCCTTCTGCTCATCCATGGAGTGACTATAATTCGTCCCAAACTCAGACTTAATTTCATGAATATTTATAGAACCAATTTGATCCTTGGCTGGGAATCTCCATTAAAGCGAGCCAGGTCATAAGCTGGTGTCAATCAGTGCATTTCAGTTAAAATTAGGGAGCACTGAGGGGCTGAACTCATGCCTGCCAACCTCTGAAGTTCAGTGTCCCCTCTCCTCTGGGGGCTGCCTGCAGAGTTACTGCACTGGTCTGCAACAATTCGTGTTGCTTTGGAGTTTTGCTTCAGCCTTGTGCCCATGTTGCATATCAAGGGGGATATGCTTTTTTTTTTTGCTTCAGCCTGGCCTTGACATGGGGGGATATTGCACACTTGACCTTGGCTTTGCCCACATCCCTGTGCAGCACCCAGCCATGGCACCCTTGCTGGTGCTTTTCCCAGCCTGCTGGTCTCTCCCAGCTCTGTGCAGTGACAGCTGACAATGGGGTCATATCTCCCCATCTCTTTCCAGCAATATCCAGGGGAACACACACTGCAAACCTTCCCAAACATTGAAACCTGTCCAGAGTGTCTGCAGCTCCCTCCTCTATCCACTTCTGCCCATGATCCTGGAGCCAGGCAGCATCCTCTGGGCAGGAGGCAGCAGCTCTCCCTGCCCATGGTCCTGGGGCCAGACAACATGCTCTGGGCAGGAGTTAGCAGCTCTCCCTGCCCATGGTCCTGGGGCCAGACAACATGCCCTGGGCAGGAGGCAGCAGCTCTCCCTGCCCACTCACAGCCCAGTGTGGCTTCTTGTCCCTCAGCAAACAGATTTTTCAGATTTTCTTGGCTGCTCACTGTTTTCCGCCCCTGAGCTGTATCAAGGGCTCCAAAATGTTCTTTCCATTGGGAACCAGCAGTGGAATAAACTGATCCTAATAAATGCCTGACAAATTATTTTTCCAGCAAGCAGATGACCGGCTGGGTTTATGCAGCTCTAACCTGCAGTTACCTCTCCTGGAACAGGGATAATTCTTTATTTCCCTTGAAAACCACGACTGCCATTCCTGCCACCAGGCTTGGAGCAGCATCCAGCATGCCTGGAGTGTTCAGGGCTGCTCCTTTCCAGGATGTTTGAGCTCCTTTCCATAGCAAAGAGCTGCTGTTTAGGAAGCAAAGGCCACAGTTCACCACTGGCTTGGAAGCAGCCACAGCAATGCAGTTGTTAAATTTGTCTGCTGCCCTTAAGTGCTCCCTTGGGCTCTCTCCAGAGTGTGAAGCAGCATCACAGGGAGAAGGGACTTGCTGTTGGTTCCATAGCTCCTCAGCAAACAGAAATCCCTGAGGGAGTGGACATTAGCATGAATTTCTTTTACCACTTTTCTGGTCCATCATCTTCCTCATCAGCCTGTTGGTAGCCCCATTGCAGGTCCAGTGCTCCTTTGAACTCCTTTGCAGCCCCCTTTATTCTGGGCCACTTTCAGAATTTGTCTCCTGTGATATTTTATTTGTGGCTTAGTCCTGCCCCTTTTCGTAAAGGACAAAATGCAGTTCCAAGGGTTTATTGCTACATATCCCCCTAAAAGGGATATCCTCCTACAAGGGATGTATAAGATAAGCTAAGTGTTATTTGAAGGTGTGAGCTGGTGTAAGGCTCTGGGGGTTGTTTTCTGCCCACAGCCTGAAGGATGAGCAGCCAGTGCAGTGTGGGCAGTACGATGGGCTGGTGGAGTTGGCCACCATCTGTGCCCTCTGCAACGACTCCTCGCTGGACTACAATGAGGTGAGCAGCACCAGGGCTAGGGAGGTGCAGAGGGTCCAGCAATGTTCTTCCCTATGCTTTGGGGCAAAGCCAGAGAAGGTTTGTCCCTTGGGATCCCCTTCCCCAGCTTGAACTTACCCCAAGGTGCTGCTCTGAGAGCCCCAGGATGGGGCAGTGGGGCAACAGCATGCTCAGTCTGAGCAGCAGGTAGAGTACATGCTCTAAAGCTTAAGCTCCTTTTTTTTCTACTCTCTAGTCCAAAAAAGTCTATGAGAAGGTGGGGGAAGCTACTGAAACAGCCCTGACATGCCTGGTGGAGAAGATGAATGTCTTCAACACAGACCTCAGCAAACTCTCCAAGGTGGAGAGAGCCAACGCCTGCAATTCGGTGAGTGGGAAGAGGTCTCTGTGAGCTCTGGCACTGCGGGACAGGAGGGAGAGGAGAGCTTTGACATGGCTGTTATTTCAGCAATTACCACTTGCAATGGTCTAAGGGACTGATTAGCCACAAGGATGTGATTTCCTGGCTCAGAGGGCTGAGCAGTTTTTGGAACAGATGGTGCAATGGTCCTGGGGAGCTGATACTTGAGCCATGAGGACCAACCTGGGTCCACATGGAGCTTTGGAGCAGGTGATCCCTGAGTCTCAAACTCAGCCTAGTCCCCACTTAGCCAGGAGAGAACCCCTCAGTGAAGACCAGAGCTCTGGCTGCAGATGAGGAGGTTTGGAGTTTTGCTTAGGTGCCTGATTTGCACTGAGCAGTTTCCTTCCAGCAAGAATCAAACCCCTCTTTCCAGAGCCATTCCTGCCTGGAAACATCTCATTTTGACATGAAAGTATCCTATGTTGGCTTCTCCTTCTCTTCAGTGTCTCCCTGTCCTCTGGTGAAAATAGACTTTATTTCAGGCCTGAATTTACTCAGCTCTGGTATCATAGTCTTAGATCTTAGAATATCTTTACTTGCTTGAAGGAAGGGCTCTCTGTTCTGGCATTTCTTCCTCAGATAGGTCTGAGCAGGTTGTAATATATCCCCTGACTTCTTTCTGATAAGGAAAGCTTGTAATCTTTCTGCACTGTCCCATCCCTCCTGTGGCTGCCTTTCTTCTCCCAGTGCCAGTGCTGTGTTGGCTTGGCAGGGTTGTTAGCCAAGGCTGGGAGCACCAGTGTCCCTGTCACGTCCCTGTCGTGTCCTGGCTCAGCCCTGTGCTGTCCCCACAGGTGATCAAGCAGCTGATGAAGAAGGAGTGCACACTCGAGTTCTCCCGTGACCGCAAGTCCATGTCAGTGTACTGCACACCCACCAACAACTCTGCTGGCAGCAAGATGTTTGTCAAGGTAGGGGAGAAGGTGCTCAGCACCACACAGCATCCTCCTTGCACACCCCAGCAGGATCTGGCCCTTACTGCAGTGAGCAGTGAAGATGTTTTGCAGTTTCTCTCCACCTGTTACCTGTCTGGGGGTCCAGGATCCAGTGGGTAGGCTGGTGAAGTCAGGGAGGAGGTGAATCTTTGCCCTGTTGATAGGAAAAAGAGGAGGTAAAATGATTCAGAGGGAGGAAAAGGCACTGTGTGTGCTGGTGCTGGGGCAGGGGAGAGCTGCCCCTGTGCAGAATTTGGGCACTTGCCTTTATTAAAAGCTTGGACCCTCCAGATACCAGTAATGCCCAAAGGATGATGTCCAGCTTTCCACTGTAACCAGAAATAAAATAGTGTTTCAAAGGACATTTTCTTCCCAAGAGAAAAGATGCAGAAAATCGTAGATGAGCTTTGTGTCCTCCCCTGCTGACTCTGAGAAGATTTGTATGTTGTTTTTCCCACTGGGAGGTCTTCTGGGTGGGTGAACTCTGTCCTCCAGGTCAGGCTGGGACCCTCCAAAGCCTCTGAATCTCTGGCCCTGGGTGAGTTTTTTAAGAGGCAGAGTAGAAGGATTGAAAGTTTTGTATTAAAAAGCAATGTCAGGGTCCTGTGTACGGTCAGACGGGCTGGGGTGGGATGCTGGGGTGCTAAAGGACATGTTTTCATGAACTGCAAAAGCATCACAAGCATCTGCTGAGCATCCACATTTTTTTAGTGGAGGACACGGGCTGGGGTGAGATGCTGGAGTGCTAAAGGACATGTTTTCCTGAACTGCAAAAGCATCACAAGCATCTGCTGAGCATCCACATTTTTTTAGTGGAGGTTTACAACCCTTATCCACTCCAGGTCTGGGAGGGATCTGTAGGGTGGGAGTACTTCGGGCAGACCTGTAGGTTTTGCAGGAGTCAGTTGGATCTCCTGCAGAGCAGATCCTGCTCTTATGACCTGATGAGGGTTCTTCCCCCTCCACTGTGATCCCGACGCGCTCGGTCGGACACTGCCATCTAGTGCACTGAGCCGCAGGGCCGGGATGTGCCTGCTGAAGTTTTGGGGAGATTTCCTCCTCCTTTGCCCAAACTTGGTGTCTTCCCTCCTTGTGGCACTTCCTGCGGCGCTGGCAGGAGATGCTCATCCTCTGGGTGCATTGCAGCCCCCTAAGCCCTCTGCTCCTCCCAGGGTGCCCCGGAAAGCGTGATCGAGCGCTGCACCCACGTGCGTGTGGGCACTGCCAAGGTCCCCATGACAGCTCCGGTGCGGGAGAAGATCCTGGCCAAGATCCGGGACTGGGGCATGGGCATCGACACGCTGCGCTGCCTGGCCCTGGCCACCCACGACTCGCCCGTGCGCAGGGAGACCATGCAGCTGCACGACTCTGCTGCCTTTGTCCACTACGAGGTATGATACCAGCAGCTTTGTCCAGTTTTTTTTTGTCTTATTCCCTAAGTTTTTCCATGCACTTCCAGCAGTATTTTCCTTCCGGTTTCTCTATGGGCAATACAATGGCTCAGCTCCTCTGCAAACCCTGAGGGCCTGTCCCAAGGGTAACAGCCTCGTCTCACTGAGCATCCTTCCCCGTGGAGTGACTGCTGAGAGGGGCCTGGGGACCACTGAGAGGGAAGGGAAGGAGGGGAGCAAAGAGAAAAAGTGTGAGGAGCAGCAGAAGGAATGGGAGCATTCTGTTGCATTGGGGCTGTAGAGTACACCTATGAGACTTTAGAGTGCATCCATGGGATTGTAGAGTGCATCTTTGTAGGAAACCTCCTGAAAGTTTCCTCCCAGGGGAAAGTCCTGTGCCCAGGGTGGTTTCACAGCAGGGAGGGAATGGCTACATCCCAAGGAGTTCATGTGGGTCTGGGGTCTGTCCCCCTCCAGAACAACCTGACCTTCGTGGGCTGTGTGGGGATGCTGGACCCTCCCCGCAAGGAGGTCACCACCTCCATCGAGATGTGCCGCAAGGCTGGCATCCGCGTCATCATGATCACTGGGGACAACAAGGGCACTGCAGTGGCCATCTGCCGCCGGATCAGCATCTTCTCAGAGACTGAGGATGTGTCTGGCAAAGCCTACACGGGCCGGGAGTTCGACGAGCTGTCCCCGGAGGCGCAGCGCCAGGCGTGTCGCAACGCGCGCTGCTTCGCCCGCGTGGAGCCGGCGCACAAGTCCCGCATCGTCGAGTACCTCCAGTCCTTCAATGAGATCACTGCCATGGTGAGCCCCCTGGGGATGCCCCGCTGCCCCCTGCTCTCCTCCTCTCTGCCCAGCCCAATCCCCAGCACTCTGTTAATCGTGGCTTTGTGCAGACAGGTGATGGGGTCAATGATGCCCCAGCCCTGAAGAAAGCAGAGATAGGCATCGCCATGGGGTCGGGCACGGCTGTCGCCAAGTCAGCTGCTGAGATGGTGCTCTCTGATGACAACTTCTCCACCATCGTGTCGGCTGTCGAGGAGGGCAGAGCCATCTACAACAACATGAAGCAGTTCATCCGCTATCTCATCTCCTCCAACGTTGGGGAGGTTGTTTGGTGAGAGACCCTCACACCAGGCACCACACTGCTGGGAGCAGCGGTGGGGGAACACATTTCCTGGCAGTCTTGTCCATGTCCCCTGCCCCTGGCAGCATGTGGTGCCCAAATGGGTAACCCTGGGCACCAAACAGAGCAGTGATGCCATGTCTCATTCCCCAGACGCATGGAGTTTTCAGTTTTGTACTTTTACAATCCTGCCACCCTCCAGGAGCTGTTTTATTCATGTGCTGCCTATTTAAGCCCACGCCAGTGCCTAAGACAGGTGCAGATATTTGTGTACAGACTGTTGTCACCAGGTCACACTGATGCCCTTTGCATCAGGTCCTGGGGAGCTCTCCCTGCTGCTGTCCCTGCCCATCCCTCCCAGTAAATCAGTGATGTCTTCAGCAGCATGAGCACCACTTGGGCACCTTTTATCCTTGT